TGGTGTCCTCTAGTCCTTCTATTATGGGAACTAATGAAGAACTTTTCTTGATGCACTCTCTCCACCCCACTCATGCTTTTATAGACCTCTATCATATCCCCCCTCAGTCTCCTCTTTTCTAAGCTGAGAAGTCCCAGTCTCTTTAGCCTCTCTTCATATGGGACCTGTTCCAAACCCCTGATCATTTTAGTTGCCCTCCCCTCCTCCACCCTCTCTCTTCCCCTCTCCCACCTCCTTTTCCCAGTCTCCCCCAGTTTTGTTAAATAAAGAGAGTTTCTATTTTTGAACACACGTGTCCTTTATTTTGTACATCAGGAAGCAGGGTTAGGGATGGGTAAGTGGAAGGAGGTGAGGGAGGAATGGGGTACGAGCCCCCGATGAAGAGGACTGGGGTGGCTCTGCGGGCTCCTCGGGGGTGGAAACTCTCCTGTAGCCCCCCGATTGACCCTCCTGCCCCGGATGGCAGCCTGCAGCAAGAGCTGGGCTGATGGCCGAGTGCTGTGATGTGCCAAGTGTGGGCACTCAGGGCACTCCAAGCCAGGACTGCTTTGCAAGCGGGGAACCCCTGAGAACTGTCTGTCCAGGGTGGGGGTTGGGTCCCTTTAAGCACAGCCCTTGGCTAGCCTGAGACAGCAGCTCCAAGCTCTAAGTCCTAATCTGATGCCCTGCCGGCACTGCTTCCGGCCATCCTTAACCTCAGTTCAGGGTCCACTCAATGTGGACGTGCTAGTTCAAATTAGCAAAATGCTAATTCAAACTAGTTTTTAGGTCTAGATGCACTAGTTCGAATTAGCTTAGTTCCAATTAACTAATTCGAATTAAATTAGTTTGAATTAGTGCTGTAGTGTAGACATACCGTGAGAGCCCAGACCACGTCTGCCAGATGTGCTCCCAGGCACTGTGTGGGGTTTCATCTCGCTCCCTGTCAAACACCATTGATTAGCCCAAAGCCTCACAGCCTCCACCGGCACGGAGTTCCACAGGTTAACACAACACAAGTGCCCTCCCACCCTCCAAGGGGCCAGGACACAGACCGGTGGTTCCAATACATGGAGGAGGACCCAAGGGCAATCCTGTATGCATACGTACAACACAGGGGGGAAGAAAACGGGGATAACTGAGTGGGCCCAAGCCACAGTACTATGTGGTCACCTGGGCTCAGAGATGGAGGGCATGAGGTGTGGGGACAGAGGCTGGGCTGCCTGCCTGACCCATTCTTTCTTCTGTTCCCTACAGCGGGACGCCATGCAGCGGGACCAAGCACAAGCCGGGGACCCTCTAGCCCTGCAGCAGCCGCAACAGCAGCAGCACCCCCAGCCGCCCAACCACCAAGGCGGCAGCTCCGCCACTGGGACCAGCTCCTTCGGCACTACATGCAGGCCGTCGAGCGCGTCAAGGCAGCCATCACTCGGCGTGTGGAGGCGGACCTGCAGAGGCGCCAGGAGGCCTGGGGCTCATTCCAGGCCCAGTGCGTCTGCATGGCGGATTCAATAGCCATCTTCACTGCACACATTGGCCATTCCATCCACTCCAAAATGGCCGGAAGGAGCCAGAGCAGGCACATGGCCACCGCTGGCTCCATGGCGGACAAAACAAGCAAGATGAAAAAAAAACAGGCAAAGGCACTAAAAGGCAAAGGGCAGTGGTGTCCAAAAAGGCAGAGGGCAACCACCAAAACTGCTACGGCTGTCAGTCCCTGCAAGAGGTCCTATAGCACGCAGCAGGAGAGAAACAGCTGTCTGGGGAGATCCCTTTAAGCACGTGTCTCAAAGGAGCTCCAGCCCCCAACTCCGAAAAGGGCTGGTGCCCTTTTGCCCTCTTCAAAATGGTTCCGGGCTTCTGCTTTTGCGCAAAAGCGCATCGTTGCTTCGATAACTCCGGGGCCAATCTAGATGTTCTTTCGCAGAAATACTTTTAACGGAAAATCTTTTCCATTAAAAGAATTTCTGCAAAATCATGCCAGTCTAGACGTAGCCTCAGGGGCAAATGACTGTTTTGCGGGGCACAGGGCAGCATAATCTTGCGGAGCCCCGCTTTGCCACGGCGCATGAGCGGTGACGCAACGCGCATGCGCGGTGGCGCCACGGCACATGCGCGGGGCTTTTTGCAGCGCGGGGCCCGGGGCAGCCGCCCCGCTCGCCCTGCCGTATATCCGCCTCTGTGTAGCCTTTATGTATAGAGGTAGGGGGTGGGTGAAAGAGCATCTTTCTCTCCCCCTCCCCTTCCCTTCTCCTATTTATTTTGAGTTTTCTTATCCCCTAGTTATAACTCCAGTCATCTGAAGAAGTGGGCTGTGCCCACGAAAGCTCATGATACCATCTACAAGTTATGTTAGTCTATAAAGTGCTACAGGACCATTTGCTTGCTTTTTTTTTCTGTAACAGATTAACTTGGTTACCCCCTGAATCTACAGAGTTAGGTAGACAAAAGAACAGCCATACTGGGTCAGATGAAAGGTCCATCTAGCCCAGTATCCTGTCTGCTGACAGTGGCCAATACAAGATGCCCCAGAGGGAGGGATCACAACAGGTAGTCCCCATGTGATCTTCCCGTCACCCACTAAATGTGGTAATGCCTACCTAATTATGTGAACTATGCTTCTTCCGCCAAAGTGGCCCTCTAAAACAACAGAACCAGAAGACAAATAAAAGACTGAAAGGCAAATTCAAGAAAAAGGGGATTTGTTTTTTTTAAATTCTCAGCATCTTTAAACCAATATCATGATTTTGAGGGGAGCTCAATTCATCATTTGTGAATGCTTGGAGTTGGCAATATTGCATATTGTAATATAATTATACCTAGCTCTTATATAGCACTTTTCATCAGCAGATCTCAAAAACACTTTACATGGGAGATCAGTATAATTATTTTCCCTTTACAGATGTGGAAACAAAGGCACATAAGAGAGCATTAAGCTGCCTAAGGTCACCCAGTATACCAGTGTCAGATCCAGGAATAAAACCTTGGTTTCAAATCCCAGTCCAGTGCTTGGTCCTAGGACTCATATCAAATACACTTCCCTTCCCAAAGACTGAATATAATGCCTTTTCCATGGTTCCCATATCTTGTTCTGGTGTATTTTATAAAAATGAGGTTCTAACCAGGATATCTTGCATGGAAAAGCCAATAGCTACTACTATAGCATTCCTATTTTTCCAATTATTTATGTAAATTAGTTCAAAATTGCATTACTTGG